TCGATAGTGGCCCATCTCTAATCACAATTTATGATAGGGGAATTGGATTACCTAGGGAAGTGAATTAATTTGTAGCCACATGGTGTAAAATAACCTTCTGAGTGGTGGCTTCATCATGCTCCATCTGGTGTTTCAATGAACATTTTAAGCAGAGAATTTAAGAAAGGACAAAAGTAGGCTAACTCAGAACCTATGCTCAGTCACAGCGCTCTCAATGAGACTCAGTTTATTTAACCACTTTGTTGTCCTACCAGATGTTCTCTGCCTCAGGACATCTTGTTCATTATGATTATTTATGACAACTCCCAGTTCTTTGCAGGATATTATATATACATCAGAAAAAAATGATGAATGCTACAAATGGTGTTTGAAAAATAAAGAGGATATGATAGTAGCATACTGATGGAGCTTGGCCCTCATTGATAGATAATAAAGAATCTGCCTGCTAGTGGTACCATAATTCAGGAGATATATATTGACCACAGTAGGACGTAAAACATGCTACTAATCATCCACAGGTCTAGCAGTCTCCACAGGAATAGAGCTTAGCTTGGTGCAAAGCTGCATGTCCTGGCCTGAGTGGCCTGGATGGAGCATCTTGCTGGTAGCCATTTTGAGCTCTGGGTCTGCCAGCCAAGACAAAGTAAGGTTCATGCCCAGGCTAAGCAGCTACATCCATCCTGTAGCCACTGGTGTGCGTACGGGGTGTGCCGGGTATGCTCAGGCACGCCTTAATGTCTTAGGGTTGCCAGGTGTCCAGTTTTCTACCGGACAGTCTGATTTTTGGGGGCTCTGTCTGGTAAAAAAATCCAGAAAATACTGGACATGTGCAATGTCCAGTATTTTCTGGTTTTCAGACTGGGCGCCTGGAAGCCTCGTGGGGGAGTGGCTGGGAGGCGGGATGTGATTGGCACTCGGAGCCTTGGCTGTGTGTGAGAAGGAGAGGCAGCTTGGTCCGTGTTCCTACGCGCTGGTCAAGCGTGTCGTGGAGCCGCAGCTGGACTGACTTGCACTTTGCCTGGACCATGCGGGGGGCGGGAGCGCCCTGGGATCTGTACTGCCCAGGTCAGTCCCGCTGCCTGCCGGATGATACGCTCTTGCCCCTCCACCCCCTCCTGGCCAGCTAGTTAGTTCTCCCCCACTTCTCCTCCCAATCTCCCCTGGCCAGCCATGCCAGCCCTGCTTCCAGCGGCCAGTTCTCCCCCCCTCCCAATCTCCCCCAGAGATCCCTGCTGTACCCAAGCCCCACCCCCACTGCCAGCTCTACCTCCTGCCGG